AAAAAAAAAAGGTTTAGTCTTCAATGGAATTTTGCTGCAATACAGTTTGTAGTTTCAGGTGAAGCAATTGGTTCTGTATGAAGGCCCTCAATCCTCTATGGCCTTCTTACCACTGAAAACAAACAACAAACACAACTTATAAGAAAATTTTAGTGTATTTTTTAATCTCTATCCCTAACATTGGAATTTTAAATGGTATTTGTGGCATACTTACAGTTACATATTTTTAGAAATTTTGAGAGTTTGCTACATTGTGATTGTGTTTAAAACAGAAAGAGGAATAGGAGAAATGTAGGGAAGGAATTTATGATAATGAAATTTTAGTTAAAATATATCCTTCCTAAACCTAAGCAAGGAAAATTGTATTGTGGGCCTCTGTGGTTAAGCTTCAATGTAGGGTGTAGTCTTTTTAGATTGTACCTATCCTGGGGTAGAGACTTGGGAGGAGTCTATAAAAATAAGTAAAATCAAGTTAAAGAGATAATTTGAGATGAAGGAGGAAGTAGAATACTGGGCATTGGGTTGAAAGGAAAATTTAAACTTAGAAGGATAAGTATTTAAAACAAGGCTGAGGTAGGGAGAACTTTTAATTTAGATGTGGGAATTAAAGATTGAGGTCTTCTTTAGTTGAGGAAAAAGGACTAAATGATTGGAATTGAGCTGCCTATAAGCATGGAATATGTCTCTGGTTGATATTTGCCTTGGAAACCTTGTCTGCCTCAGTGTTGTGTTGAATCACTACTTTGATGTTCAATAATGTACAGAGACCGGGTGCTTATTTCTGTCCCCTACCTCTACCAAAATCCATTTCTGTTTCAAAGATTGGGAACATATTTTGTCTAAGAGCTAATGATGAAATAAATACCAATATTTAATTAGTCCCCCAGCATTTGGGGAAGCTGCCAATGCCTCCCTCCTATGCTCTGGGACCAAAGGGACTCTACAGCAGTAACAGGTGAAGTTATTATAAAGTTTTGAGTAAAAATGAGCAATGTGTATTTCTCATTATCTTATGTAATTTAGTGTATAGTTATTTCTAATGCAAGTTTTTATACTATCTCTTTTTATATGAATCATATTGAGCAATCATGCAGTATACCATATTGATCAAAGAAGGACTACAGAATACTGAGAATGACAAAAAATTAATTGATCTGACAGTTGGTCATATTACCTTATCAAGATAAAAATCTTCTAAACAAATTCCTAGATGAGCCCACTATAGACCTAAGGAGAAGGCAGTGCTTTTCTGAACATTCCTTTGAGTTTCATAGCATTTTCTTGAATGTCTTTCCCCACCTGTGGCCTTAACAGTAGAGTTCAATCTCTCCAGCAGAAAACTTGGTAGAGATTGGGTCATTACTGAGGTCCTTGCATTAATGTGGTGATAGTTGGGATGATTTTTAGACCCTTAGTATTCCAGGTATTTTCAGATTATTCCTGTTTTTTTTTTTTAATTTTATATAAAACAACACCTTATATTAATTGATAGCCATAGTTTTATGTGAGAGAAGAATTCATTGTAAGAATGAATTCTGGAAGAAGATTTTCAGAAATGAATTGAAGATGCATGGTTAGCTTTCTAAGTGGTTCTCTTTCTGGTCACATTAAATGATACATAATGAATTTTCTCCCCACAGGTAGCAGCACTTGTGGTATATCATTTCAGTAGATGTCTTCTTCTTCTTCTTCTTCTTCTTCTTCTTCTTCTTCTTCTTCTTCTTCTTCTTCTTCTTCTGGGTGGGAACTCCTTATTTTATTTCTTAAAATTTGTTTTTAAATTATTGCATATAGCCAGAAAAATTCCCAAATCAGAAGCATACAGCATAAGGTGATTACATTTGGGTAATTAGCATCCAAGTCAAGGAACAAAAAATATCACTATATTGTCCTTGTCCCAAGGTTAACTACTATTCTGACCTCTAATGTCATAGGTTAATCTGTTGTTGGACTGAATTTAAATTCAATTGAACATAAGATGCATTTTTGGTGTCTTCTTTAGCTCAATATAATGCCAAGTAATATGTCCAAATTGATAAAAATAGCAACAATTCTTTTTTATTTGTGTGGGTGAATATACCCAATTTATTTATCCATTCAGCTGATGAATATTTGGGGAGCTTTGGGCTAATATTGTTGGGTAACCTTTTGATAGCTCATAAAGTTAACATTTTAGGTTGGAAGGAGAGCACAGTCTTAGGATTAACAAAATAACTTCCATTTTTTTTCATAATAGTCCTTTAAAAAAAAACTGCGAAGAAGATTCATTTTTTGCATTCTTCCTGTGTTTATGCTTCTCCTCTCTACAAATTTCTTTGCTTACTCTACACCACCTCTCAAATGAAGTTATCTTTTTTAAAACAACCATAAAACAACCAGTTTTTACCAAAAATAGCAGTGAAATTCTGATGTTAAAGTCTGTGGTGGTGCTCAGAAAGCTCTTGGTATAAGACATAGGATTATGATTTCCCTGAGAGAATAAAAGAAAACAATGTCCTTGCAAAGGAGGACTATTTGTACAGATATTTTATTTCATGTTTACCTCAAGAATAAAGGACATTTCATGGTTCCAGAAAAGGGTCAGCCTTTTAGCTTAGGCTCATTAAAAGGTGAAAATAGTATAAAATTATAGATGTTTTATAAGTTTGTAGTAAATATATCCTACTTGGATGAGATACTGCTTATAATAGCAGAAGTTAGCATGTGTAATGTTAGATTTTTTTTCCTTTAAACATGCTGATTATAGATCCACTTTGACAAGTTGCTCAGTGAGTTATAAAGGTATATTATATTTTAAACATAGAAGAGAGGCAAGAAAGTAAAATTCTAACAAAAGAGATGTTTGAGATTAGTCTTCTAGGGTCCAAATCAAGTTCTGTTATTCTCCATTATTATGTAACTTTGGGAAAGTTACTTCAACTCTCTGAAACTCTTTCTTTATCTGTGAACCATGGGTAATAATAGTAACTATCCCACAGAGTTGTTTAGATTATTAAATAAAATGATGCACATAAAACAACTGACCTGGTCTTTGCCATCTAGTAAAAAGTCAATAAATGTTGGCTATTATTACATAAGACAAAAAGAAATTATATATAGATAGATTTGTATTGAGAAAGAGAGAGAGAGAGAGAGAGAGAGAGAGAGAGAGAGAGAGAGAGAGAGAGAGAGAGACTCAATGGTCTCTCTCTTTAAGGAAAAAAATGGCATTCATTGTGAGTCCAAGAAAGCTGATCTCACACTTTCTCATTTTGCAAAAAAACTCCATAGACTCGACAATAAATAAATCTATCAGGACTCTTACTAATTCACTAAAATGCATCCTGCTTCTCTTTGTCCTAATTAAATATGGGAGGCCTTGAGACTTCCAGCTTCCTGTGATCCCTTTTCCTTGGATGAATGGAGATGAGGTGTGGAGTCCTTACTTCTCTTCTTTACAGCACCCTGAACCTCTACCTTATTCTCTGTCGCCAACATCTTTGGGGGCCTCCACTTGCATAGAGAGTCAGATATATTTGAATGTACCTAAACAATTTTATCATCAGGCTATGATGACATCAATTTTGTTCTGTTATATCCTGCCAGCTGAGTAAATCCCTCAATAATAAAATAGTCTACACACGGTCAGCAGAATTCCAACAGGAAGCCTTTATTACTGGCCAGGGCTTGCTCCAGAGCAAAGGAGAGCGGCCCCTACTGATGTTAGGGCTGGGTTTAAAAAGAGAAAAAACACAAAGCTACAGTTTGGGTGGCATTTTTCTCTGGTCTTATCAGCTTACAAAGACTCTAAGAACCTCAGCAAGATCTTGCCTCAAAAATAATAAAAAAAAAGAAAGAAATTTTAAAAATTGTGAAAAAAAAGGGAAAGAGAAAAAGGGGTGGGAATAGAGCTACATTAGTATAGTGCTTGCCTCATATGCACAGGGCCCTAGGTTCAATACCCAGAAGAAGCACACAAACACACACATACACACTCACACACACTCACACAAACACACAAAAGCTGGGGATATAGCTTAGTAGTTAAGCACCCCTGAATTAAATACTCAATATTATTTAAAAAAATAAATAAATAAGATAAAAGCAGAATTTCCATTCATCTCAGCCTGTGTGCACCTGGCGCCCCGGAGTGCGGAGCGCCCCAGCCGTAGGCCTGGTCCCCACCAGGAATGCCTGATGATCACAGTGGGCTTCCAGGTTCCCGGTGGTCACACCACTCATGCTTGGCCCAGTTTGGCCCACAACGCCACCCACGGGTCCACATGGGTCCACACAGTCCCCAAGCGTAGGCGACCCACGTGCATTCGTGTGTGTCCTTAGGTGTCCACCTGCCCCACTCCTAGGGGCTGAGGCCTGGGAGTGCAGATGTCCTGCCCCTGTCTTTCTGGAGTCGTGCTGGGTCCCCTGAGGGCCTGGTGCTGCCTGGGCATGGCGTCTGTGGCCAGGACAACAAGGGCACCACTCAGCTGAGGCCTCCCCAGCTCAGGGCAGAGGCTGCGTTCACAATGGGAATACACCGAGGGCGGAGTGGGGCCTGGTGGCCCCCTGCGCAGGCTCGGGCTGGGCCAGGGGCCCTTTGGCAGGCCACCTGGTAAGCAGGGCCAGATCGTGGGGTGGCGGGACCAGGCGGCCTTTGGAAGAGTCCAGAAAAGGTCATTAAGATATTTGAACCTTCTTTGAAGATTTCCCTTTGGGAGCGAACTGTTCCCATCTTCCTGGGCCGCAGGCCACTGCCGCTGCACTGCGCATACTAGTTGGACTGCAAACTTGGAGAGGGAATTGCAGATAACAGGATAAATTTTTTAAGAATTTGTTTTTTTCAAAGTTATTCTTGACTTATCCTCCTCCCTCATTCTTGTTCCCTTGTGGTGACATTTAACAAGTAAGCCACACAGAGTGTTTCAAGTTTTGAGAGGAGCGTTGGAATAGAATTAAAAACCAAGTTTTCTTAAGCCAATAACCTCACAACAAAGGCTGTAGAAAGCATTTGTATTATTTAATATGTGCTCAGCCATTGGGGATGTGCCACGCAGGCAACCCCTGGAGGCGCTGCAAAGACAGATCTCTGCATAGCGGGGGAGACTCAGTGTTCTGCATATGTGGACTACATACCTGGTCCCCAAGTGAGAGGGTACAAGGGTGCCATCTGTTGTCCTTAGCTCATCCTGAGTTCACCGGGTGTTGGGGAGCAGGTAACATCTCTGTTGCAGACTTGGCTTTATCTACAGAAGCAGCTTACTGATTGATATTTTTGTCACAGTGGATGGCTTTGCATTTTAAAGAGAGGCACTTGGGGGACCTAAGCTGTCTTCCTAAAAGATAAACAAAATTGTAAAAATCTTTAAAATGCTAGATTTTTACTACTAGACAAAGAACAGATTCATCTGTATATATATGATGAATATTTTAGTAATTCTAGCTACTTTGGGAGTCTGAGGAAGGAAAATGCAAATTCAGCATCAGTCACTTAGCAAGAATTTTTTTTTAATAAAAATTAAAAGGGGCTGGAATTGTTGCTCAGTAGTATAACACTCCTGACTTCAATCTCCAGTATACATACATATGCTTAAATATAATAAAATTTAGATAAATTATATGAATAATCACATAAACAGAGTAAACAATCAAGGCACTATACACAAATAATAAACAAAGTAGGGGTAATATTTATACATGTAAATAAGCATATATAACTTTCTTAAAAATGGGAACATGGTTCAGGTACAATTTAATTTTACCTAATATTGTCCTCAAGTGAGAAGTCAGAAAAATTTTTACTCAATTATAACATATATGTATAATAATTTTTTTAAAAAATTACTGATTTGAGAAAACTCAGTATTACTGAGCAATACTGAAACTACTCGAAACAGTGGATCTCAAAAAGAGAAACAAGAATTAGAGAAAATCTAACTCACAAAATTCTAAACACAGTAGTACCTTAGAAATCCTTCTTTAATTATTTTTTTGTAATTATAAACGAAAAGAATGTTATTATTTTACTTTTTTGTTTATTTTTAAGTGGTACCAAAGATCAAACTCAGTGTCTCGCATGTGCAATGCAAGCCCTCAGTCAATGAGCTACAGCCCCAGCCCTAGAAATCTTTCTTTAAATTACATTTATCAGCTATATTTTTATAGTCTAGGAGCAGGCATTGTGAATCACTACTATTCATTACATGACAGAAAATTTTCACAGAAAATCCAGTATAAGCAATAATAAAATGTTCTGATGAGGAAATTTGAATAAATAAATAAATGAATTATATTAAAGAAATTCTTCTATGATATTAATATATTACAATAGTTCAACCTAGAGATATCAAAAATATGCACAGATTTTCTAAGGAGTTTCTAAAGATCAATAGACATCTGTCAAATTATGCAAATTCTTACAGGCATTAGGGTGTGCTTTGTTTATTTAAATGTAGGGAGATAACTGAAATACAAGAAGGAGCTTAAAGAATTGGAAAGTATGTCAAACATGGGGCAGGGTATGCTCTGTTATGAATGCAAGACAATAAAACCTAGGATTAGAAATATAATTTCTGCTAGAATTTAGCTTCTCAACATTTTAAAGAGTGACTTATTTTTTTTTTTTGACATTTTGACATCTTATTCATATTCTTTGCTTCCTTGACTTTTACCCACATGAATATATGGCTACTGTCACTTTTCTCTTCAAATTCCAAGGTTATTGCTTTTGAGACAGAAATGACCAAGGATGATTTAAAGATTTTGTGTTTGTTGGAAAATGGAATATGGTTCATTTTTTTAAATTTTCTTGCTAACTACTGATGTTTTTAAATGCTGAACTCATTAGGAAAAATAAAGGAATCATAGAAGAGTCTAGACAGTTACTTTTTTCAAATTTTGTTTTTGACAGAACCACTAAAATACTTTGCAACAATTTTCAATCTCCAGATAGTCAGCATCACTTTGAAAAGATAGGTTGGTCATAAAAAGAAAATTCGTTAACATTTCTTTCTAAATAAGCAAATGCCCAATCTTCATTCCAAAAACAAGAACTTAAAACATTTTTGTGCAGAATAGAAGTGGCAAAAAGATATTCTACAAATTTAAAAAATTAAATATTGGTAGTTAACTAGGAATTCTGATGGAAATTTATGCTCACCCACAAAGACCAGGTTTTTATAGATCTCTAAAAATCACAACTCCATATAAAGTCTGCTGAACAGGGTCCAGGCATTTCCACTCCTCATCAGAGAAAGCAATTGCCACATCCTTGAACATCAATGGTTCCTGAAATAAAAATGATTAAATATATGTCACATCAACCATATGATCATTGACACAATATTTTATTTGACAAAGGTTGTAATGAGAGTTAGAAGAGCAGGCTCTCACATAGGGAAATGCTCTCAATCATTCAATAAGGTACTTTTTTGTGGTGCTGGGGATTGAAGCCAGGGCCTTGTGAATGCAAGGCAAGTACATTACCAACTGAGCTATATCCTTAGCCCCAATAAATAATTATAAGTAGTGAAATTGATGAATAAAGTTGGTATAATAAAATCCAGAGAGCAACACATGTGAAGCAAAACACTAAAGCAAAAAAAGTAGTAAAACTTTCCAACATAATCTTAATGGATAAATGACAGCTGCAATAAGTTATTGAATACTCAAAAAAACCCAACCAAATGATGCAATTATACTTGAGATATACATAGCAAGCAAAATTTTAAGTAATAACAAGACTCATAGGACCATGGTCACCTCTGTGTGTGCAAGATATATGACATCAATGAGACACACCAAAACTTCCAAAAGTCCATATATTTATTTAAATGGCAATCTCCAAGTTGTCTATATTCTCATTATTTAATAATATTATAAAACAAGTACCATATATATTATTTCTTTATACCACAACATCAACATCACAATTCACTCACTTTTCAAATGATAAAATAAAAATTTTAATTATCGCAGTATTACAAAACACTTAGGTACTTGGGCAAACTTGTATTACATGGAACAATGATATAAAAAAAGATAAAAGAGAAAAACAAATTAATAGACTATTAACCCCACAGTTCATAAAGAAACTGTAACATCAGATTAAACATCCCCAGATATGGGAAATGACTCTCACTGTGAGTTGTATCCCCACATGGCTAATTTCAAAGTAGGGAGTATGGGAATACTAAGCTGGAAAACATTAATTCTGAAAGGTTTTTACACCCTAATTACTCCCCTAAAAGTATGGAGACTAGGATATCAATTTTCATAATGAACAAACACATATCTAGACCTACTTTAAGGATATGACCTGTGATGTATTTTTTTCTGAAAGTTTTGTTTTGTTTTTCAATTAAGAATTTAATCTAGGGTCTACTCTACTCTACCACTGAGCTGCATTTCCAGAATGTTTATTTATTTAAATTTTGACACAGAGACTCACCAAGTTGCTTAAGACCTTTCTAAATTACTGAGACTGGCCTCCCATTTGCCATCTTCTTGTCTCATTCTCTCACATCACTGGGACTATTCGTCTATTGAAGGGCATCTAGGTTGGTTCCACCACACTTATCAATACAACATCTTTTGATAACAAACATGCAAATTGCACAACAAAAAATGTTCCAACAAATAGTAGTCCTATAATTCAATTTTGATACTCCTATAGATGTCACAATTTGGGGTTTACTCCTATTGAATTTCACTAACTTTAAGTGCCAGTTGCAAGCCTCAGAATAACATCAGTATTTATGATCAGTTTCCCATAAACTGGCAGTCTCTACAACTACACACTTAAGTTACATATTCTGATAGAACTAATTATGGAACAAAAAAGCACACTTTACTTATGTATACCAGGTTCTTTTTTTAAAATTTTTTAATTGTTGGTTGTTCAAAACATTACATAGTTCTTGATATATCATATTTCACACTTTGATTCAAGTGGGTTATAAACTCCCATTTTTACCCCGTATACAAATTGCAGAATCACATCAGTTACACATCCATTGATTTACATATTGCCATACTAGTGTCTGTTGTATTTGCTGCCTTTCCTATCCTCTACTATCTCCCCTCCCCTCCCCTCCCCTCCCCTCTTCTCTCTCTACCCCCTCTACTGTCATTCATTTCTCCCCCTTGTAATATTTTCCCCTTTCCCCTCATTTCCTCTTGTATGAAATTTTGTATAACCCTGAGGGTCTCCTTCCATTTCCATGCAATTTCCCTTCTCTCTCCCTTTCCCTCCCACCTCTCATCCCAGTTTAATGTTAATCTTCTTCTTATGTTCTTCGTCCCTACTCTGTTCTTAGTTACTCTCCTTATATCAAAGAAGACATTTGGCATTTGTTTTTTAGGGATTGGCTAGCTTCACTTATCATAATCTGCTCTAATGCCATCCATTTCCCTGCAAATTCTATGATTTTGTCATTTTTTTAATGCAGAGTAATACTCCAATGTGTATAAATGCCACATTTTTTTTTTATCCATTCGTCTATTGAAGGGCATCTAGGTTGGTTCCACAGCCTTGCTATTGTGAATTGTGCTGCTATGAACATCGATGTAGCAGTGTCCCTGTAGCATGCTCTTTTTAGGTCTTTAGGCAATAGACCTAGAAGGGGAATAGCTGGGTCAAATGGTGGTTCCATTCCCAGCTTTCCAAGAAATCTCCATACTGCTTTCCAAATTGGCTGCACCAATTTGCAGTCCCACCAGCAATGTACAAGTGTACCCTTTTCACCACATCCTCGCCAGCACTTGTTGTTGTTTGACTTCATAATGGCTGCCAATCTTACTGGAGTGAGATGGTATCTTAGAGTGGTTTTGATTTGCATTTCTCTGACTGCTAGAGATGGTGAGCATTTTTTCATGTACTTGTTGATTGATTGTATGTCCTCCTCTGAGAAGTGTCTGTTCAGGTCCTTGGCCCATTTGTTGACTGGGTTATTTGTTATCTTATTGTTTAATTTTTTGTGTTCTTTGTATATTCTGGATATTAGGGCTCTATCTGAGGTGTGAGGGGTAAAAATTTGTTCCCAGGATGTAGGATCTCTATTTACCTCTCTTATTGTTTCTCTTGCTGAGAAAAAACTTTTTAGTTTAAGTAAGTCCCATTTATTTATTCTTGTTATTAACCTCTTGGGCTATGGGCGTCCTATTAAGGAATTTGGAGCCAGACCCCACAGTATGTAGATCGTAGCCAACTTTTTCTTCTATCAGATGCAGTGTCTCTGAGTTGATATCTAGCTCCTTGATCCATTTTGAGTTAACTTTTGTGCATGGCGAGAGAAAGGGATTCAGTTTCATTTTGTTGCATATGGATTTCCAGTTTTCCCAACACCATTTGTTGAAGATACTATCCTTTCCTCCATTGCATGTTTTTAGCCCCTTTGTCAAATATAAAAAAGTTGTAATTTTGTGGATTGGTTTCTGTGTCCTCTATTCTGTACCATTGGTCCACCTGCCTGTTTTGGTACCAGTACCACGCTGTTTTTTGTTACTATTGCTGTGTAGTACAGTTTGAACTCTGGTATCACTATACCTCCAGATTCACACTTCCTGCTTAGAATTGCTTTTGCTATTCTGGGTCTTTTGTTTTTCCATATGAATTTCATGATTGCTTTAAGATGGGGTGATTTTAACAGCTCTCTCTCTCTGTTTGACATCCCAATTCTGCCTTTGTATGAACTGAAAAGAACCGGTATGGTGATGTGTTTCTGTAATTTCAGTGACTCAGGAGATTTAGGCAGGGAGATTTCACATTCAAGGACAGCTTCAGCAACTGAGTAAATAATAAAGCAAAAACAAACAAACAAACAAACAAAAATAACCACGATGGTGTTGGGCAAGGTGCACACAACCGTAATCCCAGAAGGATGGGAAAATGAGGCAAGAAGATGGTAAATTCAAAGTCATCCTCAGCCAAAGTGAGACCCTAGACAACTCAGTGAGACTCTTGTCTCGATGTATAATACAAAATAGGGCTGGGGATGTGGCCCAGGGTCAAGTGCCCCTGGCTTCAATCCCTGGTACAAAAAAAAATGAAATAAAATAAAATGGGGCTGGAGGTGTGACTTTGTGCTTAAATGCCCCTGGGTAAGATCTCTGGTACAAAAGAAACAAAAATTCTGCTCTTTTGAATAAGTGTCACTATCTAACATCCAAGAGAATATGAAAATATTGATATCTCATGTAGCCTAGAGGAGGTGAGTTTTGGCTTTGAGATAAGGTAGAGTTGAACCTGAATTCCAGTAAAGTTACTTAGTAGTTGTGAGACTTAGCAAATATTCTTTCACACTGAACACCTATGTGAACCTCATCTATTATAAAAGGTACAATAATCATATAATGCCAACATGTAACAATTCTTCAGCTTCATCTATATACAGAAAGTAGATGATATGCTTTTACTCCTTCTCTAGAAAAATGTAGAATGTGTTTCCAAAGCTTTGAATATGGTCTCTTATTATTTTTTATGGATTATATAATGCTGTGGCTATGAAAGAGTATTAGTCAGGTATCTGGTCAAGAAACATTTGAATGTGTTTGTTTTTGCTTTCAGAACACTGTTACCTCCATGAGAACAAGCCCACAATACTTTTTTAATCATGAGTTATTTTGGGAAAAAATATCAGGGTGTTTTATTGGCAGCCAGATTACACTCTAACGTTACCAACCATCAGCTAATCATATGCAGCAAAGATTCCAGGTGAACCAAGCCTAAATTGACGACCACCCCAAATATGAGCGAATAAGTTTTAGAATGAGTTAACTAGTGACAGATAATTAGTTAATTTATTCACTATAGGCTGGATGCCAGGATTCAATCACATGATGTGCAGAGGTTGTATGAAAAACAGCCATCATCTTATAGATAGTGATTTATTTTTTCTTCACTAAAATTTTGTTGACTCTCTTAATAAACTGAATTGAACTATGAAAAATATTTGTAGACATATATGCCTTTAATTGTAAAAATATTCTCCCAGTACCTTATAAATTTGGTATGAATATTAGCACAATTATAAAAGCCAAATATCTCAATCCTGCCTCTAGGGTCAAGGTAAAATTGCAAATAAGTTTCCCTTTAATTAATATTGTAGAGTCTGGGCTACTGAAAATCTGAAGACCTGGCACCATCCACCTCCTGGGACACCAATTCTTTATGTTTACCATGTGGGATCTGAAATGGGAATGAATCTGTTCTTAGAATCTAGTGAGAAATAATGCCCACATTTGTACAGTTCTGGGTTGGAGCTGCCAGCGGTCTCAATGTGCACTGT